GGAGCTCAAATTGTGCTCTATATGCTTCCCACGGTGCCTTCCCATCGAATTCCTGTGGCTTCATTGGTGCTAGATCACCCTTATTGCTGACACTCATGTCTGGAATCTGACTTCTGGCAGGACTGAAGATGTTTGCATTCGGGTTTAGTTGCGGGGTCTAGAAGAGGCTTCCTGTTGTCTGGGGCTGATTAGGTCCATGGTTAATATATCCTCCTTGTGTAAAAGACAGTAAATCGTCCTTTAATGTATCTAATTCATTTTGAAATTTACTAATGTTTTCCATTGGTACTTCTTGCCACTGTTGTTGACTTTCCTGTAGTTGCTGCTGACTTTCCCGCAACTGTTGGAGACTTTCTCCCTGTTTCATTTCTTGTTCTAGTTGTCACTGCTGTAGTCTCTCTTCTTGTTTATTTTCTTTCTCCTCCAACCATTGCTGTAGCCTCTCTTCTTGTTTATTTTCTCGTTCTTCTTGTTTCTTTTATTTTTCCCACAACTGAAGATACAAGTAAAGCAAGCACACCCCTCTACTATGCAGGATGCAATGGCCAGAGCTCTTGAATTTGAATCCTACGTTAAGTCCAGCACAGAGGTACCAACCAGCACAGAGGTACCAAGGTTGGTACAGTCGTCAGGATTGAAGGCCAGAATAGGGCAGCTTTCAGAGAGGTTTGAGGGACTTTGCTGGCACTGTAATAAACCTGGGAACAATAGAGCTCAATGCTGGCAACTTCAACACAGGGAAGATGCCACAGCAGGAAATGCTACTACCCAGAAAGGTTGTTGGAACTGTGGAGAGCAAGGAAATATGAGGAGCCAGTGTAAGAAGAATACCACCAATAAGTCAGCTTCGGGAAACCAGTAGTGGTCGGTGCTGAGGAACGCCCACCAACCCCTATCATGAAAATGAGGAGCCAGCGTAAGAAGAATACTACCAATAAGTCAGCCTCGGGAAACCAGTAGTGGTTGGTGTTGAGGGACGCCCACCAACCCCCATTGGGAATGTCCCAACACCTAATTGTAAAATGCCAAGCACACATAGTCTCTATGTAGGAGGAAAGCTGGATGGCCAAAGGTGCAACTTTGTCATAGATTCTGCATCTCAGCAAACTCTTGTGAGTATCAAGGTGCTGGATCACAAAGGAGTACCAGAAGTCATACAGAAGCTCTGTGGTGTGACAGGACATTCTGCAAGATTGTGGGAACCCATGTGGGTAACTACTGAGCTCTTAGGCATGAAGGACAGACCCAAAAAATCCTTGGCTGACATTGAAGACCAATGCTTACTAGGGTTGGACTACTTACTACCAAGGAAGTGTGTAATTAATTTTGATAAAATGTCGTTTGGGAACAATAAAGGCCAAATTCCTGTAAGTGTTAAAAGAAAGGTTGAACTAACCAGGTGTCATCAAGCTGAAGTCAAAGTGACTGAAGGAGTTGATGATGGTGAAGTGGAACCAGGTATAGATATCAAGGCAGAACAGGAGAAAGACCAAGATTTGAAGCCAATAATTGATTTCCTAAAAGCAAGTGTTTTGCGCCCTGCTCGGGAGAAGGTGTCTAAGCCCTGTGACAAAGAACTATTGGGCACAATGGGACCAGTTGAAGCTTGAAGATGGCATTCTTCTCCGGAAATGGGAAACTGCAGATGAGTGACGACCTGGCAAACAGTTATACCGAGAAAGTTATGGGAAGTTGTGCTGTGTCAATCCCATGATAGTTTAACAGGAGGACATCTCGGAGTTAAGAAGACATTGAGTCACCTATGACAGATATTTTACTGGATAGGTATGAGGCAAGATGTGGAAGAATGGTGCAGGATATGCAGTACATGTTGTGCTAAAAGGAGACCCAAGCATAAAGGATGTGCTCCAATGAAGTTATATCAAGTTGGTGCACCAATGGAAAGAGTAGCCGTTGACATTGCTGGTCATTTGCCCAAACTCGTACTGGAAACAGGTACATTTGAGTGGTGATGGATTATTTCACCAAGTGGCCTGAGGCATATGCAATACCAAATCAGGAAGCTACAACTGTAGCTTCGGCTGTTAGTTATTTCTTCTTCAGATTTGGTATGCCATACGAACTGCATTCAGATCAAGGCCGTAACTTTGAATCAGCTGTGTTCCATGAATGCTGCAAGTTGTTTGGCATACGAAAGACCAGGACAACGCCACTTCACCCACTGTCCGATGGTATGGTAGAAAAGTACAATTGGACACTGGGACAGGAATTGGCAAAGTTTTGTAATAGCCACCAAGATGACTGGGATGTCTTACTCCCTCCACTGTTGATGGCCTATAGAACAGCAGAGCATGAAGCTACTGGATACACTCCAGCAAAACTGATGTTTGGTCGGAAACTTCGGTTGCCAGTGGACCTGATAACAGGACGCCCACCTTATGAAGTGTTGCCTGAAAATGTGTCAAAGTTCGTGAAAGTGTTATCTGAAAGGATGGATGATATTCATCATCAAGTGCGTTCAAACTTGAAAACGTCTGCTGATTCCATAAAGCTATGCTATGATAAGAGATCAATTGAAGTCAGCTTTGTACCAGGAAACAAGGTGTGGTTGTATAATCCCAGGAAGACCAAAGGGAATTCTGCTAAGTTGTCTTCTCCATGGTAAGGCTCATATGACATAGTGGATCGTCTCTCAGACGTGACTTTCCGAATAAAATGTGGTCGGCGAGGTAAGCCAAAGGTGGTGCATGCCAACAGGCTTTGCTGTTATCACAGTCCAGGACATTTCGGTTGGGTCAAAGTGAACAATGAAAGAAAAGAAGCCGCTGAAGATGTGTCACCTGGAAAAGCCATTGTCGAAGAAGAAACTCTACCTGGTTTTGAGAAGGTAAACAGTGAAGCCCTTGATGAAGTTACTACCACTGATGGGACTATTACCAATAATAGGACATTTCCTGATGGAGCAGATGAACCCCACGTGAAGCAGAAGCCAACGAGATGGAGACCAGTACGTAAGAAGATACGTCCCGTAAAATTAAGAGACT